CCCCAAAACCCCAAAACCCCAAAACCCCAAAACCCCTAGATTTTTAGAGATAATTGAGAGTTAAATTCCAACAGAAAGCTCAGTCTCACGAGACTCCTGCAACAGACTTGGTTCTTCAAGATTTTTTAGAGTCGTCTTTCAGACTGGACATTTTAAGTCTTTAGATAATTTGGTCCTCATGAGACACTTTCTTAAGCACAAAGAATGGAAAGAATGATTTCACACATTAATTGCTGAAATTTTTTTAGTGATATGCACGCTTTGATTCTCAGTGTAAGTTCCAAGGCATATAGATCAAGTTGTCTCCGAATAGTTAAATTTTAAATCACCCACAGTCCCGTGATCTATTCTAGCCATGTATTTATCAACTCTTTGCTTTTTGAGTTGCTTCTTTTTCTTTCTAATCCTAGCTTTATCTGGCTTGTTGATGAAGCTTGAAATACAGATATAGATGCATGATACAACCATCATTCCTCAAAACATCGAAATAAAGATAAAGATTAATATCACAGAGACTCTTTGATACTCTCAAGTTGTGGTAGACTTCTCAGATATAATGATCGAATAATTTGATTCCTCACTCATTCTCTTCGCTCTGACCTTAACACTAGTCGTATTATAAAACGTAAGAACTTCAGATCCGCATTTTGCAATAGTTTTTGAATCCAAATATCTCCAGCCTGTATTGGTGCCAATCTCTAAATATATCTCCTCTAAATTTCTTGGATCTCTTATAATTTCCACAGTAACCTCAGAGTATGCATCTTGACTACATCCGAGCTTCTTTGGACTGCCTTCCTTAACATTATCCACCTTTAAATTCCATTCACAAACTCTCCCAGTCTCATAACCCCCATTCCTAAAAATCCAACCTATAAGCCTACCTTTCCTTCCTAAAATCATCATGGAAGACGTCTTCCTCCTTGTTATGGCCCAAATGAATTTCTTTGCCAGGTCTTTGTGAGAGGTGGGTTTCTCCACGATCACTAGCGTTCTTGCAGTAGATGTAGTCTTCATAGGCGTTGTAGGTTATATGAATCTGATACCGTACATATTGTAAGGAACGCAGGTGTTGTTCAGAAATGTGCACTCTTTGAATTTTTGACATGAAGTTCAATCAAATGCTTGGGAGCAGATTCTTTGTGGATCGTAAGGTTTGAGTTCCGGTTCTGGAGTAGGGACTTCTATTATTTCCTGTTCATCTCAGTTTATTGTGATGAACAGAGCTTGTAATATAAGTAATATCAAGACTCTTATGATACTCATTTTTAATTAATTATTAAATTCTATAATGATCAATTTAAAAGATTTTCTTTGGGGTTTTGGGGTTTTGGGGTTTTGGGGTTTTGGGG